TATATATATACCACATCTTTTTTATCCATTCATCTGTCAATGGACATCTTGGGATCTGAAGGGGTACGTGCACCCCGATGTTCATAGCAGCAATGTCCACAATAGCCAAACTGTGGAAAGAGCCTTGATGGCTATTTTAAATAAATCACGCCTACCATTAATTGAGTTTTGCCATACTGCTAGGATTCTGTGATTATTCTGTCCTTATTCTCATAAAGCAAGGCCTAGAGTTTTTTTTTTTTTAAGTTTTTATTTAAATTCCAGTTAGTTAACATCAGCATTATATTAGTTTCAGGTGTAGAATGACAAGTGCACCCCTTAATCCCCATCCCCTATTTTCCCCACACCCCACCCACCTCCTCTCTGGTAACCATCAGTTTGTTCTCTAGAGTTAAGAGTCCGTCTCTCCGTTTGGCAAAGCCTAGAGTCTTGTTGTCTCTCCACTTCCTTGTTCTTTCTGGAGACTGAGCAGTTGCCACTGTCAAAGTATTATTATCCATGACCACCTGTCCAGCCAAAATTTCTACACAGACGCTTCACAGATCATCAAGACTCCAAGCTGTTTTAAAGTACTGATTATATGTTCCTTTGGCTACACGAGTTTTACCCCCAACTGTATGGAGGAGAGTGTCTTTAATGATGTATGCAGCGCAATTAAAGCATTTTTGAGGGCAGTGACTTTCAAACTCTTCACTGCCATTTACGGTAAAAAAAATGCATTTTACATTGCGATCCAGTATCTCTGTGCATGCTATGTAACTGGAGCAAAAGTTTCACTAAATAATACTTACTCTTGTGATGTGTGGTATGCTCTGTAGTTTCTCTTATATTTTTTAGCTCCTTACAAAATGCTGACTGTGACATTGTAAGTGGATTTCCTGACCCACTAACGAGTCACCATCCGAGTCTGAAAAGAACTGCTTAACAGCCATCAAGTTTTAGGAAGTCTTAGTATGTTAATTCTGAGAAGACTTTGGAAATTATCTATGGGCAGCTTCCCCTTTTTATCCTGGGTTAGAGTTGGAGGAACTTGAAGTCCAAGTAGGTTAAGAATTTCTTGTAGGGAAACAGGGCCGTTTTATGTTTATGCTGCTGTAGTCATTTACTCCTGGAACCATGCCATGCTGTGTGGGCAGTTTGACCACATGGACTCTAATTTTTGAGTTTAGCCATTATGCTCCTGGGTGGCTTCATGGTAACGAATAAATTATTCCCACTTTCCTTCGCCCAGTCGAGCTATTTTCCCCCTCCTTTAGCTTTTTATCCCCCTAGTCAGCCAAAGGGAAGAATGAAGCATTCTTCCCTTTGAAGGGAATGGAGCATTGAGAGTGGTGAGTCTCCTCTTCTAGGGATGGTACACATCTATCATTGTCATGAATCCAAACCCATTGTCATGGCTTGAACGTAATAGCTTTAAGCACATACTTAGGCATTAAAAAAACAAAGAAAGAAGTCTAAATGTGAACTTTCTTTAAGGCATTTGCGATTTTAGTTTTGACATGTGCACACATCTTGGTGTATTTGATGTTTTTTCTTCTTAATAATCAGTAGTGATCTTTTTTTACCCACATCTTAAGTTTTTAGTTTCATTGTTTCTGTTGTAAAGGGAATCACAGAGCTTCAAGGTCAAACAATTAACATCAACTTTTGAGTTCTCAAATGCCATTCATAGAGTGTTTGTCAGCTTGCGCTGCCGTAACAGAATACCGTCAACTGGATAGCTTAAACAATGGAAATTAGTTTTCTCGCAGTTCTGGAGACTGGAAGTTCAAATCGAGAGGTCAGAGGGGTGGATGTCTGGTAAGGGCTCTGTCTTTGGATTGCAAATGGCTGCTTTCTAGCTGTCTACTCCCATGGTGGAGAGAGAAAGGGCAGGCAAGCTCTTCGGTGTCTTGTCTTAGAAGACCACTAATCTAGTTGGACTAGGACACCACTCTCATTAGCTCATCTAACCCTAATTATTTTCCAAAGGCCCCAACTTTAAATATCATTATAATAGGAAGTAGGGCTTCAATATATGAATTTTGGGAGAACACAGTCCAGTCTGTGGCGCAAAGCCAAGTAAAACCTTAGTGGGGTTTAAATATTGGCTGAAGCATGCAAAGAACTTTTCTGAATTGTACTTATTAAAAATAGACTCTTCTGTTTGAGTGAATAGATATTTTTCACAGTCTGTAATTCTTACGATGATTATTAACCACAGTAACACATTTAATTTCTTTTATATTCTCAATAATGCAAGTATGTGGATGATAGTTTACAGTTAAAATATGCCCAAGAATAAAATGATACCTTTAAAAAGTGATTTTCATAAAGAATTTTTTCCTGAAAAATTTTATTAATAGTTAATGAATTTCTAAACAGCCTAGCACTATTTTCAAAACCTTATATAGTAGAGAAAAGCTACCCACCATCACTGAGAACAATACATATTTTAGCAAATAACCATATTTGCTAAAGACATACTTTAAAACAACTATTATATGTTGGAATTCTTATTGCTGTCTAGAAGCATGGATGGGTTTCTTAATTAAGAAACTGTAAAGGAGCCAGGTATTTGTCTACAAGAAATCTCACAGAGAGTTACTCCAATAGCCTACACAAAATATCCAATCTAAAGACAGAGAGGAGAGATTGAGAATATAGAATCCTCTTAAAGCTTTTGATTTGAAAGCTATTGGTCTACTTTTAATGTTTGTAAAGTCCTTGGAAACCCCCAAACCAGTTCTTACCTTTTTTGCTGCCATAGGTAGACTATTGATCAAGAAGGATTTTTTTGTTTTGCTTTGTTTTTTGTTTTTTGTTTTTTTTTGCTATTTTTTTCTTGTTTCTAGGTTTAAAGAGGTATAGACTGTTTTAAAATTTTAGGGCTTTTGTGCAGAGTTAGTGCTGGGTGTCTAGATGAAATATTCTCTGTCTCTTTAAAGTATCTTTGCTGGCATGCTTTTACTATGTTAACACATACATGTTTATTTTGTTTATCCTGTTTCAGTGTCTATCAGCTGAAGAGATCTTTTCCCTTCATGGCTTTTCGAATGCTACTCAGATAAGCAGCTCCAACTTCTCTGTCATCTGTCCAGCAGTCTTACAGCAACTGAACTTCCATCCTTGTGGGGATCGGCCCAAACACAAAACAAAACCAAGTATTTCCGAAGGTATGTTGGAAGTTTTTTCTTCTGTTTGTTCGAAAAGTCTATAGGCTGGTCCGAAATTAAATTAACATGCTTCTTTCTTTGCTTTATTGCTTTTAGTTAATGTACAAAAGTACTTATATTCTGAAAGTATTTAGAGCAAGAATAATTAAAACTCATTTAAACTTCATGAATTGTGCTCTTCTATTTGTGGAGTCAAAATTACACTTGGTACTGCTTAAAAACTTTGTAAAACTCAATACTTTATTTTATTATTTTATTTATTTATTTACCTATTATTGGTTTTTTTTAGAGAGAAAAGGAGAGAGAGAGTGAGTGTGGGGTGGGAGAGGGGCCAAGGGGAAGAGAGAGACTCTTAAGCAGGCTCCATGCTCAGCACGGAGCCCGATGTGGGGCTTGATCTCATAATCCTGAGATCATGACCTGAACCAAAGTCAAGAGTTGGACGCTTAACCAACTGAGCCATCCAGATGCCCCTCTCAATTCCTGATTTTAAAAAATATATGCTTTATACTGTTCATGTTGGATTGTACATTCACTATTTGGCTCCTAAGTGATCAATTTCCATTACCTCGTGCTTATCATATTATTTTAAAAACTTGTCAATTTATCCGTAATTTTCAGTAAAGGGATAGCGAATAGCATGGTTTTAGATTAAATACTAAAGTGCTGAGTTATTACTGCTTTAATTTTTGTAAATGAAAGAAAACGCCAGTGACTATTTTAAATGCCTCTAATTGTATTGCCATAGATGTTGGATTTCAAAGGGATAACCTGCTGCAAAAAAATTTTAAAATATAAGAAAACAAGTGCATGCTTACTATATAGTTCACATATTTAAACATGTAGAAGAATTCTTTTGCAAATGAAATAAACCACTTGTTCAGGGGGTTTGTTTGCCATCTATGTGCAATTTCTTGGTATCCTCAAATTGTTAACCTGACCCACATGGATATTTTAATTCTCATCTGTTGGTACATTGTTCATTCAATAAATGTTTATTGAATGACATGCCAAGCACTGTTCTGGGCATTGGGGATTGAGTGGTCAACAAGAAAACTCCCTGCCCTTTTAGGACTTACAGTGTAATGGAGAAGAGAAAGAATAAACATTTATACAAACAAGCAAATAAATAATAGAATTTCAGGGTGATAAGTACTATGAAGAAAATAAAGTAGGTAAGGGATAGAAGGAGACAGTGGGTGAGTGTGATTGTTGATAGGTCAGAGGAGGCCTTTCTGATGACATTACATTTGAGCAGAGTCCTGACTTAGGGTAGGGAGAGGACCGTAGCAAGATCTTTTCTGGGAAAAGAACATTCTTGGTCAAGGGAACAGTCAGCATAAGCTTGGCAATGAGCTTGGTGTATGTAAGGAACAGTAAGAAAGCGTGTGTGTGTGGAGCATAGTAAGCAGGAGGAAGAATAGAAGGAAATGATGCCCGGGGCCTTGTAGGATACAGTAAGTTGACTGGATTTGATTCTGAATATGGTATGAAGACACTGTAGGGTTCTAAACAGGGCGGGGGCACACGATTTTGTTTGGATTCGTAAAGGATTATTCTACCTTTGTTTGAAGAACAGATTGTAATGGGGTAAGAGTAGAGCAAGGAGATTAATCAGGAGGCAGTTGCCAGGGATTGGTGCTCAGGATGATGGGACATGGACTAAAGTGGGAGAGGTAGAAGGGAGGGGAAGTGATCAGATCCAGGATGGATTTTGGAAACTGTGTTAGAATGGTTTGCCTCTGGTTGGATGTGGGGGTTGGGAAGAATGAATCAAGGTTTGAGCCACTGAAACTGGAGAGATGGATTTGCCATTTCCCAGGATGGAGAAGACCGGAGGAGCAGTTTCTTATGGGGGAAGCAAGTGGTGAGGATCGGGTGTAATTTTTCACATGGTCAGTTTGAGACATTGACATAGACCCACAAGGAGGGATGTCCAGTAGGCAGTGGCATACACACATTTAGTGCTCAGACCACAGGTCAAGGCTAGAGATTTGTCGGCTTAGAGATGGCATGTGAAGCCACTGGTCTGAGTGAGCACATCTATACTGAGTATAAAAGACTATAAAGAAAGAAGAGATAGGGGCGCCTGGGTGGCTTAGTCGGTTAAGCATCTGCCTTCATCTCAGGTCATGATCCAGGATCCTGGGATCGAGCCCCATGTCAGGCTCCCTGCTCCGCGGGAAGCCTGCTTCTCCCTCTCCCCCTCCCCCTGCTTGTGATCCTGCTCTCGCTGTCTCTCTCTCTGTCAAATAAATA